GCTGAGTAGAATGAACTATGTCTGAAGTGTTTTATCCCAAATTTGTAGGAGGAGATACATTTGGCGCGAAGCTATTCAAAAATCAGTTTTTTGGCTGTTGCTATGGCAATGGTGGGCCAAAATTTTTTTCAGATTTTTCCTTATAACTAGGGTGAAGGTGTGACCTACCTGCCAAGTGTGAAAGAAATCGGCCAAGCCAAAAAAATCACAGAAGAAATCATACGTGAAAACACTGGAAATGTACACACACAGACACACAAAACGACAAAAGTGATTATAAGGGCAATCCTAGCGGAGCGAATCGCCAATAAAGTAGATGTTAGTTATAAACAAGTCATTGTCAATGACACGTCCCCGTTCCGTTCATATTTGAGCGAAATATACATTCAAAGCAGATCATGACCGAAATGCACCTGCATATGTACAACACATTGTAGTAAATCTGAACAAAATCCATCTATGCATGACTGAGATCCGGTTCTGGAATTGTGAAAATACGTGATTTTGATGCATTTTCGGCCTTAAAATGGCCGCCATTTGGTTATCGTTAATAAGATCATGAAACAAATGCACATACATATTTGTGACATGATGTACCTTGTGTGTGTGAAGTTTGAACTCGATCAATCCAGGCATGTCTCAGATACATATCAAGAACTGATTTTTTAAAAACAAAATGGCCACCAGTCGGCCATTTCAAACTTGACCCGAAAAAAAAAATGAGGTGCATCAAGGTCCTCTTATGTTTAATGTATGTACGAAATTTGAACAAAATCCGTCCATGCATAACTGAGACTCGTTCCGGAATGGTGAAAATGTGCGATTTCAATGCATTTTTGGCCTTAAAGCGGCCGCCGTTTGGCCATCGTTAATCGGATCATGAAAAAAATGCATGTGCATATGTCCCATATAATGTGTGATGTATGAGTGAAGTTTGAACTTAATCGGTCCATGCATGTTCGAGATACAGGTGATCACGGACGGACGGACGGACGCACACAGGGCAAAATATAAGTCCCGTTTTCGGACTACGTCCGAACGGGGACTAATGAAGTGTTACAAGCATGTCATTGAACCTCTCTTTAGTAACTGTTGTATCCTTGGATGAGGTGGTAGCTGTATAATATAAATAAAGTAAATGTTAGTTATAAATTAAGTGTTACAAGCATATAATTGAACCTCTCATCCTTAGTAACTGTTGTATCCACAGATGAGGTGGTAGCTGTATAATATAAATAAAGTAGATGTTATTTATGAATTAAATGTTACAAGCATGTCATTGAACCTCTCTTTAGTAACTGTTCTATCCTTGGATGAGGTGGTAGCTGTATAATATAAATGAAGTAGATGTTAGTTATGAATGAAGTGTTACAAGCATATAATTGAACCTCTCATCTTCAGTAACTGTTGTATCCGCAGATGAGGTGGTAGCTGTATAATATAAATAAAGTAGATGTTAGTTATAAATTAAGTGTTACAAGCATGTCATTGTGAACTTCTCTTTAATAACTGTTGTATCCTTGGATGAGGTGGTAGCTGTAAAACATAAATGAAGTAGATGTTAGTTATAAGTTAAATATGCATGAATGTGAATCTGGATAATTGCCAAGTTATACATAATATGTTGTCATAATTCATGTTCATGTGGGAGTGATGTGGACGTCATATACAGTGTTCAAGTAAAAACCTTATACAAGAGGTATATGGCTCTATAAAATAGAGAATCCCGGCAGGCATATTAAAAAAAAATTTAGCACAATATACTTACATTCAGGGAACCAAAAAGAGCGACCACAATCACTCATTTCAGTTCCTCTTTGGCAGACCAAAGGCTCACCATGCTCGACTTCTACACATCCATCATCCATACCATCAAGGGTCTCAGGTTCAGGTGCTACTTTACTGGAGTCATGACCTTCGCAGTCACATCTCAAGCATTCTGCGTATGATAAGCCAGCGTTGTTTCTCTTCAGAAGGGCGCCTGCTTGCCGCTCGACATGCTGTCTTACTACAGGACCATATGATAGATCTACAGCTCCTGTTTTGGTTGTCATCACTGACAGTTTGATGTCAGAGGCCTTCTTGGACATGATGAGATAATGGTGTTTTCCAAGAAAAATCTTTGCATTATCTTGGTACAGCAAAGCATGTGGCCATTTCCTTAGACATCTTATGACTAACTGGTGAAAGAAACCATCCGGTAAAAATCCACCCTTGAAGTGATAGTAGAGTGAGGAACTGGATTTACTGCCTTCTGGAAATAGTACCTTTTCTTTTCCGGCTTTCTTCAGGAGACACATCATGTAGTACTCAGTATTGGTATCAAGCTTTGGAATTATGATGTCAAACATTTTAAATGTTTGTAAGAGAATCTCCTTATCTTCTAATTGACCATCCTTCTTCAGTATTTCTTCCACCAACTTTATATCAAGTACTCCATGCTCATGTAACCTAGCCCACATCCTGAGGAGAAGCGGATTTTCATCCATTTCATCTCGATTGAACATCTCTGTGATTACAAGTCTGAACAGGTCGACCAACCGCTGTGGATGAGTAATAACAACATCACCTAACTCTTCGTCATCTGCAAAATGTATGATATCACGAATACTGTGAAAAAATGCCAAAGCATCATCAACATCTTTCTCAGATAAACCAATATCTTTACCAACACGATAGACCTCGTTCAGTTTCATTGCCAGTTGATCCTTCTTCAGTGTATCACGCTTTATTGTAAGCTCCAACGTCACCCATTTATCTGGTACTTTATATGTCTTGCTTTGCGCAAGTTTCAGTAGCATCTCTTTAAGCTC